TATGTGAAGTTTTCCCGCTCCTTAGGAAAGAGTTATAAGAGCCATTACCATGGAAACAAATTTACAATATTAATTTTACGAACGATCACACCTAGAAAACTCAATATGCCAGCCAGTTCCCGCAGAGGTGAGCGACATGTTGTAAGTTATACCCATTTTACTCTTTCTAATTTTCAATGACCCCGCGCTTGACAGCTAACTTATCCCAGCAAATTAGAGAGGATGAAGAGTCAGGAGAAGAAACACCTCGACATACTCAGCAACGCCACCGCCCAGATCCAGAGTCAGAAGAAGAAGAAGAGGATGGCGACGACGATGAACACGATGCAACAGGTGAAGGCATGGGCTTGGACAGGGAGGAGTCCTTGGATCAAGTTGTGAAGAAGCTGGTCAGATATGCCTTGGCATGTGAATTCCAGCGTTTACCAATTACAAGAACTGGTATCAAGGAGAAGGTTCTCGGAGCACAATCGAGATCCTTTAAATCTATATTTGAGCCGGCACAAGAATCGCTGAGAATCATATTTGGCATGGAAATGGTCGAACTCCCTGCGAAAGAAAATGTCACTGTTAAAGGACGATTGAGTGAGTAACTTTGAACCTTACCCTTGTTAAGTTCTCAACTGATTTGCCTCCCTTCAGAGGAGGCTAGCAGAAAATCGAAATCCACGACAACTTCCTCATACATTCTCACAAGTGTTCTAACCATCGAATACCGATCATCCTCGATAATTCAGCCTTCCAAAGTTATCAGCCAGTGGGATGAAGCTACATACATAGGATTTTATACAACGGTGGTTTCTGTCATAATGCTGAGCCCTGACTCAACGATGACAGAGAGCAAGCTCATGTCAGTTCTAAGAAAGTTGAATGCGGAAACAAACCTGCCACTGGATAAGACGACTCTTATCTTGAAGAAGATGATGCAACAAAACTACATAATCCGAACTATCGAAAGGAGTGATGGAGAGGAACTGATCGAATGGAGGGTAGGGCCTCGAGGAAGGATGGAGATCGGTTCGAAAGGTGTGCAAGGACTTGTGAAAGAGGTTTATGGCGAGCATGCTCCAGAAGACCTCGATAAGCGATTGGAGCGTAGCTTGGGACTAGGGAAGAGGAAGGCAATTCATGGAGAGAATGGAGAAGGAACGGAAGTGCTCGAACAAAACGGAGCACCAAGCTCTAGGAGAGTTTCCGCGAGGGGAAGGCCGCGACGAGTAACGGCGGAAGAAGAAGATAATGACGATGATGAATAAACAATCGATGCATTGAACGGAATGGTAACTGCGGGCGTTATTTTGGGAAGATCTGATTATTCGGCTACTAAACGTAGTGCACATACCAGGGTCACGGAGTTTTGGATGCTCGAGCAAAGTAGTTTGGGACATTTTTCGAATTATGAAACACTCTTAAATTGAGTGATGGGAAAAACTTTAATTCATAAGACATCTAGAAATGTAAGGTGTGTGAGTACCGTAGTAAATTGAGTTTAAACCATGTTCACAACTAATCCAGACGAAGAAATTATTCAGTGGTTTCTACTTACGCCATACAGAATTATGGTCAATTCATCATCATTGGAAACATCAAATTCCGAAGGGGGTATGTGAGAGATTGGGCTATTGCAAATACGCCGTCCGGTGTAATATTTCTTCAATTGCGAGTGAGAAGTTGTGGAATTGTTCTTCTCCTTACAAAGCTTCGTTACACGATATCAATCTGACTCCCATTATATGTTTGCGCCATTAACGCCATAGTATGACTCCTCTCCGATATCAATTCGATCAATCCTCCACTAGCTCCGCACTCCGATACCATTTTGACATGTCCATAAGTGTTATCGATATGCGGCGTCTTATTTTCAATTGAAAGGATGTCCTATAAACATGGTTAAAATCACATCTATAAACATTACTAGCAGGTTCTCGAACGTACATCTGCATTTTACACAGGAAGTGACCACGCCAAAAAAAAGATCGCTAATCTTGCACCTCGGGGGGCTTTCCAACTGGTTGTATCATTTTCTGTTGAATGTTAGTCTCCATCTTGAATCCTACTTTTATATATCCAACAATGTCTAAGTCTAAATAAAAAGACTTGGGGTGTACAAAATTACACACCTCAATCATATTTTTCCTGACAATCTCCCTGGGACTTCCCATTCCAATTGCCATGTAACTCAACAAAGGCGGGTGGCCCACATACGAGGCATACGAATCTCTTTGAATATTACTCGTCCATTCGAATCTTGTTGTATCAGCATGGCCCGTTCCAACATAACGCTGCTGGAGTTGTTCGAGCTGTTGCTGCGCGCGAAGTTTGTCTGCCTATACCCAAGGAAGTATCAGTAATGATTTTGTTGTTTATCTTGGCAATATTATTGGAAATATATGAGAAACACGAGTCGCGAATGCAACGCGATCACGAAGATAGGATTGAATTGTAGAGAAACTTACCATTCTGTGTTGATTGACAGGTTGTGCTAGAAAGAATACCTAAGTGTATTGAACGTTCAAGGTTAACCTTAACCTTACCCGGTCCGTCTTTCATCCAGCGGCCGCTAGCTCTAAAGAGCATTATTCCCTAAGCCGTTATATACAATTACATCTGAGCAACTAACAAGATTGAATTCTTCATAATTGACAAACTTGTTAGCCATCGACAAATCACTTGGAACTATTGATCTTACCGGATTTGATGAATTCGGACCCTTAGTTGACTTCAATTTCAATGAGGTGCATGTTTAAATGGTCATGGAGTAAGTCGGGACACTCACGTGACAGCGCGTTTTCCTGACCTAGATCACAGAGATACTTCGTTTGAATTGAGGCCGCAAGGTCAAACTTATCCTCTGACATTGGGCGAGCGTCTTGAACATGCAGATAACTATCGCATTGATCATGAAGCTCTCAGAAAGACTCTTGAAAGTATCAAAAAGTTTTACGAGAGCCCCTTTGCAACACCACATACCATTGACCATAAGGATTGCGAAAGTTGTATCGGAGAGGATCGTCAGACTCGCAAAGCTTATCAGGATTGGTATCTCTCAGAAGATCCAGATCGTTGGTACTCTAAACTATTTGACTACAAAGCAGAGTTACAGTCGATGTTCGAACAACCTAAAGTCCACAGACTCGACGAGATTCACACAAGAGTAGATCACGAATTTCGGGCACATTTAAAGAAAGATCTTTGTGCACATAGACCGGATGATTCTGAGGATATCATTGAATTCAAGGACCGCATCGCAATGGAATTAGATCAAGGGAGAAATATCTCAAAAGTTTTGAATGCTTACCTAACGGAGTACATCAAGACATGTCCAAACCCAGACCAAATAGACTTTATCCTTCACTTACACGACACTACCACTCGTAAACAACGAATTCCAATTTACATCTCATATTACTGCAGCCCTCTGGAATCGGACTCTATCAGCGTGCGAAATTATAAAAGTAAATATGCCCGAATGTTTGAGAATGAAATTCCCTACGATGAGGTTGTTGCCGCCATGAAGAAAGAAAGTGCTCGCACGAAGGATACCGAGATAGCACAGTTACAGCACCGCCTGAATGAACTTAACCTTGCACAATCTGCGCATCTCAAAGCAAAGGCAAAGAAAGCGGAGAAAGATTCACTCAAACATCTACATCATCAGCAAGTGGAAAAGGAGAGTAGAGCGCTTTGCTCGTACGATGGCTGTGATGAAGATGTGGATCTATCCGTACCAGAAGGTGCAATACAATGCATCTTATGTGACTGGATTGCGTCCAAAGTTCCAGAAGATAGAGATCATTCAAGGACTTATTATTGTTCTCCTAGTCATGCGCTTCTGGACCATGAAGATCACGATAAATCCGATCACTACTGCCTGAGTGCCCATTGGAAAGATTGTTGTCTTTCGGAACTTAGTGCAGACGAGGAGGTATCACATGACGGGATGTGTTTGTGCAAAGTTTGCATGGTTAGTGGGCATAAGGCTCTTTTCTGCTCTGAGGAATGTTATGAAAAGAATTATAATCAACATGCCACAGAGTGGCACTCGGACGAGAACGCACAAAGGTCTTTGGAAATATTTAGAATCCCGGACGATTTTATAGTTGAGGATGTTGTTGATGACCCGGGAATAGAGAGTGGTGAGATAGTGGACACGGAGATGCATGGTGTTTAGAGTGGGAGCCGTACCAGCTTTGGTGTATTATATATTATTGGGTTGTTGAAGTCAAACAATTAAAGCCAAACAACATTTAATCTTGAAGCCTTCTGAACATTTAGTAGACATTGTCAGAACTTTTTCAGGCTACCGTATCCTGACATCGGAGAGGATTAGCAGCGCATGCGACTAACATTCAGAAATTGTTTAGGGATGAGAAGACATGGAGGTGCGTTACACTTCTACGAATCTCGTGCAAGTGCTATAAAGGGAGATGCATTATAACCAAGCAAAGGTCACAGGTAGAGAGTGAAGGGAATCTCTCACGAATATCATTCAATACGTTTCACTATATTTCCGTGACTCTGCTCCGTTCACCGAAATAGTATATTCCTCTCACTCCCGGGGAGAGCGTGCTGGATTGTTTTTGTATTGAGCTTGTTTCCTAACACAAATATGTAGCTTGCTCTGTGACATTATATCCATTTTCCAAATCAATCATTCCCTAAATCCCCGTCAAACTAAATATGGAGCGTCAAGGCTTCCAGCCCACGAGATATACATTCCAAGAAATAACATCTGTACATGTTTAGATCCGCAAAGGTTTTGCCCAAATTCTTTCCCTGAATTCACAGACCCCATTATTTTCACATCACACTTTAAGATCATATTGCACGCAAGTCAGTCTATGCAAGCTTTTGTATCCAAATCCCATCACACTGGCGTTTTCGGGAATCTCCAAATAGTAGAAAATTCCTTCCTTCCAGTGGATTCTGAACACCCACAGAAACTCCTCCCTTGTTGTTTGCTTTGATGTTCAAACAACATGCTCATGAACCTCTCGGTTTTACCTCTCCGATTTGAGATGAACAGCAACACACGTAACTATTCTACTCCCCCCCCTTGGCGTAAAACCCTCGGGACACTCAACAATTTTATTGGAATCTAAAGATCTTTTCGATAGATGGGACTCCTGGCCAGGTGACAGCTGTTAGTGATTTCATTGGGACTTGATGGAATGAGTCGCGCTTCATGTATACTTACAATATGGGCATTGTTACTGTATGCTGTGATATTTCCGCTGGATGTGGGAAGTCTCTTGGAGGAGTTAGTTACGAAATTTGCGCGAGTATTATGAGAATGGTTAGGAGTGAATTTTAGATCATTAGGGGGAAAAATGAGAGGCGAGATTTCTTACTAAAATGGGTGTTCCAAAGGCAGCCCGAAGAGCTGGCAGCCAGAGGATGAAGATGGATAGTGGGTACATTGTAAAGTGTGGATGTAGATCGTTGGTGCGAATTTTTGAATGTGAGTTTTAGATATATGTCGACGAGAAAGTTTCTTATGCGCAGTAAAAAGTTCAAAGAAGAAACTATCAAAGATCAAGAAAAGGCGGGAATCTTGGGGGAGTGTCTTTCTATAACATAGCTTCAAGATATTTAGTACGATTCTTGGTACTCAAGAAAAGAAACGTTGCTTCCATTCATTCCTCATGAACCATACAGCCGATTTGACATCGGGAGGGCCAATGTCAAGTAATCTGGCTCGACCTCAATCTTCGTGTCTTGTATCACCAAATGAGACATCAGACGAAAATACTCCACGAGTCGTGTGACTATATGATCGTGAATGCCACGCTAAAGCATGAGGGCATGACTTTGAACTCCGCGGTAAGGGAGAGGGATGTCCGGGTTTGTATAATCTGGAGTTATGAAGATACTGTTTGGTTATAAATTTCGGGTGTTACCCCTCTTTTAATATACATCCCGTGCTAGCACTGAGTGGTGTAGCAACTACAACATGAAATCTGTTATTCCACAGGGAGATAAACTCGGGTATAAAAGAGTGTGTTGAATACTCCATGTTAGGTATTTCGAGAAAACAGTGTATACAAGCAAAGACCACGCTACGATGACTTGATTTCTAGCCCCGGAGATGTATCTGGTCATACCCAACTCAAGGTCCTCAAAGCGAGCCTGGAAGCAAGAGTGCTCACTACTGAGCAGTGACTTCTCACTTCCAGTAGATAAAATCATTTTGTTAACCTTCACAGATCTCCTCAACTATGGGAGATGGCTTTCGTTGAAGATAAATGGGACAAACTCTAACTAAACAATCACTTAGCAGTGAAAGAAGACCTGGTCATTATTGAAAGAATATGATGCTTTTAGTATCATTTTACCCGATATATAATGCATGATTTAGAACATCACATGTTCCACCAGACTTTACCTCTCCAGATGTCCGGCCAATATTTATCGGCAACTAGAAGTGAAGACTCTTTGAGTCAATGAGTTCTCATACTTGCATCGTATACAGCAAGGAATGATATTAAATTCTGATGATATTCTGGACGCCTCTCAAGCTGTTTCTATAAACGTTAGTATCACTGCAAATTCTATGAAGATACATTACCACAGAGAGCTGCCGTACAGAAGAACAAAAAAACCTGCTCAAAGTACAAATTCTGATCTCTCTTTACTTCTTGTTTCAATCCCTTGCAGAAATACGAAAATCCTGTATCAAACCAAACCAAACCAAACCAAACCACCCATCCATCTCAAAGCCAAAATATGAAATCCCAAGTAAGCGACTCCAATTCAGATAGATTCACCGATAATCCAATCCAATACCAAGCCGATACCAAACCCATCACTGACCCTACCTACCACTTATTTTCTCCAGACGTCTTAGAATTCACCACTGCTCAATCATTCCATGAAATTTTTGATGTCATTTCAATCCATTCATGTCATTTCATTAATCTCAAAGGTATCTATCTTTCTCCTATCCCTCCTCCTCTCCCAACCCCCCGTTTATTTCATTTCATTTCCTATCATTTCCCCATACCCCAAATCATTCTTCATTCAAAGAATACGATAGTCCGTTTCATTTATTGCCTAATTACCCATCATACATGCTATGCATCATCAAAAAAGAAGAAAAGAATTTGATACGTTTTCGTTTCCTAGGACAGAAAGAGAAGAACAAAGAAAAAGAAAAGGTAAGAGTGTCAAATGTACAAATCGTGTGCCCTTTCAGATTATGCACTTCTAGGATCTCAAAGTAGAGTCTGCATACTGCCAGCTTGTCAATCGTTCAAAAATTGTAATGGCGCCCACCCGAAACTCCATTCCATGCCATGTAAAATCATCTTTCTCTTTCGCATTTATGAGCTCATTCATTTACCTTGCACCAATCCCTCAATGCCTTACTCCCTCGGACTCGGCAACGGACTAACCGTATCCAAAGGCGCCTTATGTAGGGCGGGTTGTTCATGTGTACCCATGAGACCTAATTTCTTCCTCTCAATAGCATTTTTGACCCATTCTGCAACCTCCGAATCTTCGGTTCCTGTCAGGATACCATTTGATGCATCTTGTTTTACACCATCTTCCAGACTTAAACTGCCCACATCGACCTGGTCTTCATCTTCCTCTTCATCTTCTTCCGAAATTGTGTTTGGTTTCGAAAGCTCAGCCAACCACGGATGTTGAAGTAGATCGCTGTATGTAGGACGCATATTTGGAATTTTGTTAAGGCATCCTCGGACGAAATTGCGGGCGGTTGGGGAGAAACCCTCTGCAGGAAGATCGGGTGGTTCACCATCGACAATCGCCTACATTATATTAGATTCAAACCTCAAGATACACGAAATAGAACACAAAAAACTTACACTTAATTGTGAAAAGATATTATTATATGTCTCTGGTGGATATGGATATCTACCCATTGCACACTCAATAACACTTAATCCCAAGGACCAAATATCACTTTGTACACTATAGGTTCCACCTCCAGGATTTGCACCAGCTTGTGAAATTCCACCACCTGAAATTCTTTCTGGTGCCATATATGATTGACATCCAATATTCGTTTTTGCGATACTAGCGACCAAGTTTCCAGAAACACCAAAATCACAGATTTTGACCTGCCCTTTGGTGTTGACGAGAATATTCGTTGGCTTGACATCTCGATGAATGATGTTGTGTTCGTCTTTCAGAGTTTTTAAACCTTGAGTTGTTGCATAGGTGATTTTCCTCAAGACATTTTCGGGAATACCATCTCCGTAAATTTTGTCAATCGACCCTCCATCCATGAACTCTATACAGATGTAAACAGCTCCCTCTTGAAAGAATGCACCGTAAAAGTCGATAATGTAAGGACTCAGACATCTATGAAGGATGTCCAATTCCATGATGATGGCCGCGAATTTAGCTTCGTCAAGTTCCAGTCGAAGTTCTTTCATTGCCATTACCACACCAGTTGTATCTCCTCCAGGTTTCACTTCGTTATCATCGGTGTCCGTTGTAGATGATTTATTACCTGCGAGACCCAATCCAGGTTTGCGCATTCTTGGTCTTGCATGTCGAACTTTGTAAACGGTACCATAATTTCCTTTACCCAATTCTTCTAATGTATCAACCTCATCCAAAGAGATATTGAAATTTGTACCATTTGCAAAATCGATACCACCTCCATGAATAACAGCTTTTCCTGCAAATTTCAATGTCCCTTTCTCCGTGTCAACATACTTTGCAAATTGATTAAACATAGAACCTCCATTTGCAGTGTTCGGTGCACCGTTTGATTCGGACCCTGGCGCAGCGGCTGGAGCTGGAGGTAGACCACCAGGTAATTTCAAGCCTCTTCTTGCGCTTAATCCACCACCACCCATTTTCATTTTCGGAATGACCGGAGCGGAAATAAAGTTTTGTGGTGGTGGTCGCATGTTGGGTGGTAATTGTAATCCTCCAGGTAATCCATCTACGACAGGTGAAGCTGGGACCCCCGGTGATGAAATTGTCGCGGGTAACTGTGGTCGTGGAGAAGGTACGCCTTGTCTTGATGCGTGAAACGCTTTCATCTTTTCTGCCATGGAAGTAGGTAAACCACCACCAGGTTGTCTGCCTGCTTGCGAGGATCTACCTCCTCCTGGTATCGATGGACCAGGTCTTGGTCTTCTGGCATTCTGCAACATACCAAGAGGTGTAGAAGATGCAGTCATGGTGGCTATTCCCTCGGAATCTGAGGCAGGTCGAAGAGACGGTATGGTAGGAGGTTTCGAAGAACCAGGTGATGTGGGAGCTTCGTTTGTTTGATCATCTGTAGGCTTTTCTTGAGGAGAGGTATCTTTAAAAGCAAAATCGATTGAATCGCCCGGAGGAACCATCGTATCTAGTTGAGGAATATCTGCCATGATTCTGACAAGAGGGTTGTTCGCATTCGAGAGAAAGTATGAGTTGTGGGTAAGAATTCAATGTTATTGTCGATCTTTCTGGTGTGAAAAGAATTAGTTAGTAAATGGAGTGAGTGATTGATATCTCTCTTGGCGAAAGTATAATTCGGATAGCAGAACAGAGATTGAAGGACTCACCTTTTGAAAGAATCAAACTGGTCAAAGACTCAAGAATGGACACTGGTGAAATGGATTTAGGCTTCACAATTGCCGTACGGAGATTCAGAATGATCGGTACTTTGTTGGACAGCAAATATTCCGATCGAGAAGAGGGAAGGCTGGTCTAGAGCATATACTAGATATACCTAGACCAAATATTTACTAGTAGTTCTTCTGATTTCCACTCGTGTGAACTTTGTTTGGGTCTCTGGGAGTTTATGCTATCCCTAAGGAAATAGTCGAGTTGTTGAGCTACAAGTTGGTATATTGGACTGCGAACGAATCCGAGTCTCAATTTTTGGCGAGGAGAATATTTGGGGCAATTCGAGACGAAGAAATGAAGCTGTCGACTGATTTGCACTTTGGTCGTGGCTGGTCGAAGCTTAAGATGCCGGGGACGCCGTTTCTACTTGTTTTTTTTTCTTCCTTTTTTCCTGGCCTTTTTTTTCTCTTCTTGGTCTTCTCCTTTTTCTACCTTTCTCTGCCTTTCTCTTCGAATCTTTCACTCCCGATATGTCGAGCCGAATGAGTGGTTTATAATAGTTGGCAAAAAGATGGATTGGAGACTGAGGTCTAGGTTTCTTTATTTGGGACGGGACGAAGCTTTGATTAATAATGAGGGGAAATGATAATTAGGACAAGTAGAAGTGGTGGTGGGAGTGGTGGGAGTAGTGAGGGTAGTGAGGGTAGTGAGGGTAGTGAGAGTAGTAAGAGTAGTAAGAGTAGTGAGAGTATCAGAATGGTAGGTAGTAGTGATAGAGATTGAATTGAGAAGTTTTCATGGAATTCCAAGATATTTATTTCTTAGGTTCTTGATGAGATTATGGAATACATGGTAAAGGTGTTATTGTATGGTATGGGATAGTAGGTCGGAATCACAGTAGGTGGGAAGTTGGTGAAAGAGATTCTGGTTATCCTCTCTTATCCTCTCCCACCAAAAAAAGCATTCAAAAATATCTTGATGTTAGCAATGAGAGAACGTAAGTGGTAGGTGATCCGTAACCACACACCCTTACAATTATTGATATACAGTAGTATCGTATAAACTTGACAAACTGAGATTCTTCTTAACCGCATTTAGCCAAGCATATAAGCCTCGCCCCACAAACTAAAGTAAAAGAGATAATTCTGATATTTTTCAACAAATAATTATTGAATTTAACAATTGATATTTTGCTCTAAAAATTAGACTTCAAACATAATTCAGTACGAGAAATATATCTAAGCTAATAAGATCTTTTAATTTTAATTATATAAAATCTATATCAAGAGCTTCTCGTACTTATAGTACGTGAATCGTTTAAAAAAGTAAAAGAATTATTAGATTTTAATAAGTTCGACTGAGGAGATCGATAACATACTAGATTATATACGATTAAGTAGAATCTCGGTTTATCGAGTTTAGACGATATTAGTATTATAAAATAAGAATAAGAATATATGAATAAAAGAAAAGATAGTTAATTATTATTATCTAGATACTAATCTTTAAATTAATTTCAGTAAAATAGAGTTTTAAACTTCGATCTCATATAATAATCTATATTATCTTGTTTGTTTTAACTCGATATATCGATAATTCTTTTGTAAATCTAGATGTTATTAAATTTAATCTATCTTTATATTGATACTTTATACTTTATATATATTTATATTTATATCGATTTATGTCAGTCTATATTCATAGGCATTTATTATATTATTGTAAAATGTAAAAAGTAAATCCTATATCATATATAGAATAGATGGAATTCATTTGTTCAATTGATCTATCGAATAAAAGATAATAAATGATAGAAACGATAGAAGGGGAAACATCTGAAGCACGATGACGTTGAATCAGAGAGCGAAGGAAGGAAAATCGATCTTGTGGAGGGGCATTGATGAGGGGTGGGGATAATCACAAGAGTGAATCGTTGATATGTATCTGGCTGGAGTGAAGGTTAAAGAAGGAGATGAAGAGTGATAATTCGTAGAAAAAATACCTAGCACCGTGGCATTTGTACCAATGTAGTATTGCATGAAAAGATTCAAATTGATTGGTTCAAATGAGCGAGGAGATGGGTATTTCACTGGATTGGAAATCAATGACATTTTCTCGATTTTCTCAAATTTTTTTTTTTTCTTTTTTTTTTTCAAATTTCTCCAATCTCCAAACTTCAAACTCCAATCCCCAATCTCCATCCAACCTTCCAATCTCCATTGTAACAAACCGGAGCCAGCTCTACACTCACCCACTCACGCACTATCAATCTTGAGTTCACGCCACATACGAAAGAAATTGTCCAAACTTTTTGGAATGTGGATCAATTGCTTTGGAGATGGATCAAATTTGTACCATTTGCACAGATTGTGGAGTCTGGAGAAGAATTGGTATGATTCGAATCATGAAGTGCATGTAGATCAACTTACGACACGTTGGACTATCTACGTAAACTTACCAAATCTTTGACGTTGCGATCACTGAAGTGATATACATCTACATACTCTTCTTGACCACTTTTGGACCCTTCCTGGATCGATATATTTACCATGTATTTTGCATATATTTACCATATATTTACCATATCCTTACCATATCCTTGCTACGTTGGGTGATTGAGACCCTGGATGACGTGTTTGAAGAAAAGAAAGAACCCCCATCCCGTCATAATTCCTCTCGATAAGACATCGTACGAATGAGAAGAAGAATATGAAGGTTATATCAACTAGGATCTTGATACTATTGATATCATTTCCCAAGTTCTCAACTCAGTCTCAATATAAGGAGAATGGGGCTGAGGGAGACGCTCCATTATTATTATTAGTACTAATGTATCGATCAACATGCGCCGGCCTACTATATTTAACCTTTCATTACATGAAGATGGTACAGCCGAAATGAAGGGTCCGGTAGGTACAAGTGGTCAAAATTTATACTCTTCCCTCTAACTTCGACGTTAAATGTTGATAGATGATTTGACAGATGATTCGATAGATCACTGTGCCAATCGGTATTCAATCCGGATTTCATCAAAACAGGACCGCATTGATATTCCCACACGGTTTGTTGCACTTCCCTTCTCGTTGTTATTTCCCTGGAAACTAGGTAGGCATGGCGGCTTTTACCAACATCTTTCCCTTGAAGCATCTTATCTTGTTCACTGTTTAGATCTCTTCTTCATGATTGGAATTATGCCAACTTATCGAGTGAGTGGCTCAAGTGGGTAACACTGGCGAGACTGGATATGATGGAATTGATTGCATTGACATTTCCTTTCCGTTCTTCATGCAAGTTAACGTCAGTGATTAATTTATAAACAAGGAAGGGCCAAGAATTTGTGGAGTTTTTGGGGGAGTGAGTGAGATTGAGAGTGCAGGTGAGGTTTGAAACTTGGGAAAAGTTCCATCGTCATTGTTGTGGCACTGAGGCACTGAGGCACTAAGGCACTGTGGCATACCCAAGTGATTTGCGTGGTGGCTGTGTGTGAGTAGTGGCTGGGTATCGCTTGTTATCAATGAGCGACCGACCGACCATACACAAGGAGGACAAGTTGGATTGATTTTGATGGTGATATGGACAATGGACAACGGACAACGAACAATGAACAGTGAACAACAAACAGTGGATGTGATAGAGAGGGTATCTCATTGCAGTCTTATACGGAGAAGAGCGAAAAGAGGTGAGGAGACTGTAAGCTGGGCTGAATTGACTTGATTTGAATGGTAATTGGGTTCGAATGAAAAAAGGATCCCCTCTCCTCTCCTCTCTCCTGTCCTCGCCTCTCCTCTCCTCTCTTCTCCATAGATTTGATATCATTCCAGCCAACAATTTCATCATCTCCAGCATCACCCAAGCATCACAAGCACCACAAAGTTACACACCACGAAGTATGATGTGAAGTATTTCTCATCTTTTGTTATACATCACATAGCTGAGTACTATTTGTTACCTGTATTTCTAGTCATTGACATCTCAATGGTCAATGTACCAAAGGACATGTCAATAAGAAGCACAAGAAAATGCCGAGTAGCTTTTCTTTATATAATAGATACTGAGGGACGATAATCATATATCCTTTAGATACAATATTGAGGTAGCATTATCGTCTTGGCCCGAAGACCGAGAAGGAGAGGTTATTAGAGTATTATTGTGACCAATGTACTTACTGCGTCTGCATGAAGCCTTGTTACTGTGTACCGTGATCCGTGAGTGAGGAGGGAACGTGAAGTATATATGTAGAGTCGGGAAGGACTCGACAATTATGAGTAACTTATGTGAATATACCATCCATCCATCCATCCATCCATCCATCCATCATCTTCAATCCAATACACTTTATCAATTCATATCAACTCAATTGACTATTACTACCAATCTCTTTATCATACCTACCACAACATCATATTTCAACCAATCATCACTTGCTTTCATTCCAAGAATATCTGACGCCTCAATTAACTTTTTGATAATCTTGAATTCCAATTAACTTCTTTGTTTGACCCTCGTGCTCTGATATTCACACTGATGACTCTTACATCCAAGTTGTTTACTGCCTCATTTGTTGTTGTCAGACCATATTATAGGTACCATACCTACCTCCTCCTCAATATCAATATCAATATCAAAATCATCAACTCCATGTAACTCAAGAAATCCTCTCCAACTCCCAATATCAAACCGTCAGATCATCCCATACCTACCTAACCACTCAGTCCCATCATAAACACAATATACGCACAAGCACGAGCATAAGCAAGCACTTCATTTGTCCACGCGGCGACTTGCTCCGACTTGGTAAAGACTTGAATGGCCGAGAACGGATCAACATCCACATCTTCCCTAAGTAATCATCTACCAAGGTACGGCACAGGACGCAGTCTAGCTACTTCTTAGCACCATACCAATGATACCATCCTTGGCCTTATCGCATTTGCAAATTCAGGTCCGTCCCAAGAAAAGCTAAAACCACGTCAGTTTTGCCCAGTCGTTACACAGCCGCCGTCGCTCAATATTTATCGTTCGATAGCTCGAGGGAGAAAAAGAAAAGAGAAGGAGAAAGGAGTAAAATAGCGAAGATAATTGCACTTTACTCCATCAACCTATCTGATTGACTCCCACATAAACCAAAACAATCTCACAACCTTCATTCAAACATACCAAAACATTATCAAACATCTTGGAAGATTGTTGGAGACCTCAATCGTCAAAGAGGACGAAAGTACCTCGAATATCAACAACCGCACATACTTCACGCAATTTCCGTCGCAGACGTTGGTTTGATCATTCGATCCCATCCAAATCATCATGGGATTCTTTACATCACCTACTTCCTTTCGACTGGCCAATCTAGCTACCAATAACGATGTCGGCGCATCTTCCATCTCAACACGATCCCTAACGGATGTCGCGTTCGGCACTATGGCAAATGATCATTCTTCACATCCTGCCCTTGGCCATCTTATTCTGTTAGTCTTCGAAGCTGTCATGGAAGTCGTATGCGTTAGTTTACCGGGTTATATCGTGGCACGACAAGGAATGTTCGATGCAGACAAACAGAAGTTTCTTGCAAATTTAAATGTTGCTCTCTTCACACCTTGTTTGAGTAGGTACCTTGGGACACGGAGAAGTATGGATAAAAGCTAATGAATCGAACAGTCTTTACCAAATTGGCATCTCAATTGACGGCAGATAAATTGGTTGAACTCGCGGTCATCCCAGTCATCTTCATCGTGCAAACACTGGTATCATATCTGGTTTCGGTAGGAGTTGGTAAAGCATTTGGATTTGGAAAAAGACCTGCCAACTTTGTTACTGCTATGGGTGTATGTTATTGTTACTCCGACTGTCGATTGATGGAAATGCTAATAGTCTTGATAGGTATTCGGAAATTCAAACTCTCTGCCCATTTCCCTCGTAATTTCGTTGTCGCAAACATTAAAAGGTTTACATTGGGATAAGATACCTGGAGATAACGACGATGAGGTTGGCGCAAGAGGTATCCTATACCTTCTCATCTTTCAACAATTAGGTCAACTAGTTCGTTGGAGTTGGGGCTATCACGTTTTACTTGCACCACCTGAAACCTATAAGGATGAGGAAGAAGGACGATACAGAGATGAACCTGTTCTAATCCCTGGATTAGATGGTGAAGACAATGACGACAATGGTGAATCATCCTCAAACTCTTCCAATTTTGGTGGTAGAACACCAGTTACCCACGCTTTACATGACAATTCAGATGAAGAAGAACCTGCAAAATTACCTGGTATCATGGCCACGCCTACGAATGGAAATCACTTACCGAGTAATAATGATGATATTACTTCATTCCCAAGTATTCGAACACCACCATCTGAAGCGGAATCAGAAATCCCTGATGGAATTCGAGGTTGGATCCCCAAGGCAAAATTCCATACGAAACGAACCGTCGCTAAAGCATCTCACAATACCTATCATGCTTTACCAACTCCTGCTCAAGGACTCGTTACAAGGGTCTCAAATTCTACCAACAAGTTTTTAACTGGTCTTTGGGAATTTATGAATCCACCTCTCTGGGCTATGCTTCTCGCTGTTATTGTCGCATCTATTCCAAAACTTCAACACCTTTTCTTCGCTGAGGGATCTTTCATCGCCAACTCCGTTACACGAGCCGTCTCTCAATCAGGAGGTGTGGCTGTTCCCCTCATCTTAGTCGTCCTCGGTGCAAACCTTGCTAGAAATACACTTCCTCAACATGTTCTCGATGAAAATTCAGAAGAGAATCAAATTGGCACCAAACTTCTCATCGCTTCCTTGATTTCCAGGATGTTGCTTCCAACATTGATCATGGCACCACTTTTAGCTTTAACAGCAAAATATGTTCCAGTTAGCATATTGGATGATCCTATTTTCGTTATCGTCTGCTTCTTGCTGACGGGTGCACCTAGTGCTTTGCAATTGGCGCAGATTTGTCAAATCAATGGGGTTTATGAGGGAGTGATGAGTAAATTACTTTTCCAAAGTTATGTTATTTGGATTTTGCCGAGTACATTGATTTTGGTTATGTGTGCGTTGGAGGTTGTGGAGTGGGCTGCTTAAATTGAGTGTCGTTGAGAGGAGTGCTTTGAGTTGTGTGTCCGGGAAGAGGGCTTTCGACTGAAAATTGAATGATGAGGAGACGGAAGTGGAATCCATTTACGAGTCCAGTGAATGGAGATCCGAAACGAAAATTAATAAACTGTACACGGTAGGAATACATGGATAAGGCTTGCGCCGGGAAAACATACGGAATTGTATATTGATTAGGTGGATGAAAGGTTGCATCAGTGTGGCTCGGCGTTTTTGGGATATCATTTATTTTAATTCGATCAATGCAGGGTATGGAAATGATGTACTTTTTAATGCGCACGTGTGAGTTGTGGATTTTGAAGTGGAATAGTTAGGGGCAAGGGGAGAGGAGAGGAGGAAGTTGAACATGATACCATAAAATACGTTTGAGAAGGAGTTAATCGTAGATACCTTGCATTCATCCATGTATCATTCATTCATAAATTTCAACATTCATACAAATATGCATATCGGTTCTTTGTGACATTGAATGTTCCAAAGTGAAGACCTGAAATGAGGATGAGATGTATACATATGCATTCTCTCTGACCATGTAGACAAAGAGGGTGAGTCTGAAATTGTAATTGTTTCTCCATCCCAGCGATAAATCGAGACTGGTGGAAGTATGACGAGAAGCTTGGTGGATGTTGAGTTTGAATTTTGGGGTTGGGTAGAGAAAAGAGATTCGGGGCAAAGAGGAGAAGAGCGGAGTCTAGAAGAGTGAAAGAGGGACGGAAGGAGAAGGAAGAAGGGAGGGGGTGATGGTACCTACATTCCCTTTCTGATTGTCAATCAATGTGATTTATCATGATTGGTATTCCGAGATTGAGCTTGGAGCTTGGGGTTTGCGTTGAGGTGATGAGTGAAAGGGGCGAGGGGGTTAGGGGGGAGCATAAGGGGGTATTAATATCGATACTGCAATCTGTGTGTGGTTCAGTGATTTCATTCTGCTGAAAACCCCCTAAAGCCCCTAAAGGTCTTTGTGGATTTTGATTTGTTGGTTGCTATTTTTCTCGAGATTTGGGAGATTGAGATATCGTTTTTATGTGGGAATGGGAGAAGGTGGAGGGAGGGAGGGGAAGGTTGATAGGAGTATGATGTTTATTGTATCAGGTCGCTGTTACTAGTTCCGCTTGTTGTCGTTTGAATCTTTACTCTCACTATTCGAAATAACGAAACACTATTATTCACGTATCACCAGCAAGTGAAGAACCTGAGCTTTTCGCTTTTCAATATCCCATGATTCGATATCCAATCTCGCCAGGAAGTTGATGAGAATGTTTTTATTCTGATTGAAAACTGTATCTCGATCCTGATATCAAACCGTCGAGGATGTCTTTTTTGCTTACATCGTTTGGCTGGACGAAAGGGGGTATTTATATAATTCCCTGAGGTTGTCTTCTGATAATCACACGTACTAAAATAGAAGGTGGTTAACAAATCTCGGAATTGGGAATTTAGATTGAAAGTGGTGAAGCATTTTCCTTGAAGGTTGTGTGTATTAAGTTCCATCAGGAGTTATCGAGAAGTCGTAGTATAAAATCTCTTCGTCTTCCGATATATACAATTTCCAAATCTAAAATATCCATGCCGAAGCAAAAGTCATCACATTGATGAAATATGATTTGTACGTAAGTAGATTTCAATTCTGATTGTGGTCTGGGAAGAGAAGTTGTAGCAGATATGAGATCGAGTCCTACGGGGCAACGCGATCACAGTTATGTCGGTAGGATATTTGGACGCTGTTTATATTGCCGAAAAACGCCCCTTTAATCATCGCTCGCTAAGCCGCAAGTATTTTTTAACTGTCGAAATATTAAGAAAATTCGTATGATATCTCATTTTAATGGCGAAGATATGGGGATTACTGGAGGGGCTTTTGCATTAACTGAAACATCACAAGTGGAGCTATGGAATCCTCGATGTTTTTCGGTGTGCGGTAGAAGACAGGTTCATTGACTTGTGAGTAAGGAGTGATTGAGTTAGTTGTGTTGTCTTGAAAGTATGGTGGCTTGGTGTGGACGAAATTATGTGCACACCAAAAAAATTCTTTGAAAATACTTTCTCCCAATACTAACAAACTCTTGTTTGAATATAATAAAAATTGAGTTGTGTAGAAATTAGTATAATTCAAATATTTTGATCTTATTTTTAAAAGATAATATTGATCAAATAAATAATAGATGAATTTCAAAAACGCTATTGATATTTGATATGTGCACAAAATTTCGTTCACACCGAGGGTGGAAGAAAAGATCTCTTTATGCCCTTTTTATCTATTAATTTACGGAGAATGCTCCCTTAACTTTCATCTTGCTTCTGAGTTATATAGATAGTGGTTGAGTTTTTGAAAGAGTGAGTGAATGGGTGTTTATTGATAGGGTAACGGGGATAATGAACAGGAATTGGGGCTGAGAAGGAGGTAGGTTAGTTGGGCCATATTTTATATTTCCCGATGTGTAAATTCAACCATTACACACGAAAAAGTGACTTGGGGATAGTTATGCGCTTAATTAGATATCGAAAAGAGAGGTATACAAATCTTAGCCTACGAAAACCGAGAAACTTGGAATCTGACAAAGTCAAAGAACAAGAGCAACAAACCGGTATGCTGTTGATCCTATTTCAGAGTTAGGATCTAAAGCTTATCTCACACTACCACAAATCATACCATCGATACAATTTATTCATGGCGCTATCTAACATCTCATAGTGACTAATTGCGATTGACATCTTGTCATTATCATTGCCGTTGTTATTCAATATGATCAAATGGTAACTATGTATCATAATCTACCCAGTATTTTGTCGTTGTCACACAGCATTAGAGTATTCCCAAGCTCTTGAGGTTCACTTCCGATTTCAATCCCATCGATGTGGATGATGGCCTCTTTCTTCACAATTGTTCTTACATCAATTTAAACCGGTGACTTTTTATATAAGGCCGAGTAATTTATAACTTAAGATGGATTAACTTCGACTTTGCTCTTTGATTGCTTCCACAGTCAAGGATAAATTGAGAAGAATGAATATCATATTATATAACCAGATAAGGTTATCTACGGGAATTTCCGGATATCGAGACGGAGTATAAAATCCAAACTGAACAATCATTATATCCTTAATTTCGTTCAACGAACCAATCTACAAGCAAAATGGCAATATTTGAACGAACAATATTGCATAGAAGTCTTTGTTGAGAAACCCCCAAATTTACCAATAAGGGTTGAGGATTATAGATTTTAGATGGGAAATTCAGATGGGATCGTCAATTGATGGTGATGATGATCGACAACATATCAACAGGACTTGCGACACAAGCTCACGAAGAGCGACAGCAGAATGACACATGCTGACGCCGAATTTGATAGTTCTTCTCTACCGAGCGGATTTAGACGAGTCAAGTTATCAAAATTTGTGCTTCTCTAGAACAGAATTGCGCCAGCCTACGACCAGCAAGTATTGAAGACATGACGACATATAGCAGATTTGCTCCCAAGGTATACAGGTTCCTGCCAAGAGATGGGATGCTTCTTATAGAGATTTGATGTTTCAAATCTCATAACCTCTTGTGTAATGTTGAATATCGTTGGTTGTATAGGATATGCCAGGCTGGATTATCCTTTCTTACTATATTTACAGCGATTCCGGCCATTTTCCACATCACTTTGCTTGTCGGTATAAAAAGACTGTTGTAGACGTCATGGGCACCAATTCAGCGGTCGGACGTAGAGTCAACCAAAGAAAGTAAAAGATGCCAATGGACGAAACAGCGCCATCGGCCAGACTTTGAGACTTGGGCTATTGTTATGATGAGTGGGAATTCTTTCGAGTCTTCCAGGAAGAACGGAGCCTCTAGCAGTTAAATTTGAGATGAGAAGGACTGTACCTGAGTAACAGCAGTAAGTGTATCACTAGAAGAGTGAGGTAGATTGCGAGGCTCACCCTGTAGTGGCAGCATCCGTCATTAACGAAGCATTCACTTTATCACTACAAGAGAATATTCAATACTTTAATGTTATATTGAATAAATTGTTTCCATTTTATTAATTTGATTAAGCGTTTTATTATATATAACAAAGCTTATTCTAATCAATAAGATTTTAAGGAATTTCTTAGCTTCTAAAAGTTTAATAAAAACTTTGATTTGAGATAATAATTATTCGATAAATAAAAAGTTTCTAGATTTTATTTGTTTTTCAGCCTCCTTTTCTTTTTTTTTCTTTTAAGTTGATTTTCTATTAGATTTCTTAAAAAAAAAAAAATGGAAAAAATCTTTTAACGTGATTCGTTAGCATATAGACCATATCAGTATGTAGATCACTTCGAAAATATACTACAATCAAGGTTTTATTGATGTTTATATTTTAATAATTAATTGTTATTTTCAAAAGAATTTTTTTGAAAAATCATAATGAAAATGAAATATTTATAGTATTTAGGTTTTTTCTTAAATAATTCATTCTAACTCGAAATTATTACATTGTGTATTATAAAAACTCTTTTCCTTTAATAACTTTAATAATGATTTAAATTTTGTAACAAAGAATTAGATTTTTAAAATAGTTGAAAAATTAGGTCTTATATGTCACGGGTTCAATACATAGTTATATGGATGCCTAAGGTATCCACCCTCTATATAATCAGCACTTTTCCACCGCTTTCTTCATTTTTTATAAAATATTATATATTTTACCTAATATCTATTTCTTATATCATAATAATATATTCTACTTATAAAAAAATCTCATTGTAACAAAAACAATTCAATTTTGAAAAGAAATTCTTTGTTTTTATTTTTATTTGTTTAAAATAGATTCTTTTATAGTTTTCACAATCTTTTATATCTTTTATGCCTTTTTATTTTCATCTTTATTTTCATTTTTATTTGTATTTTTATCTATATCTTTATCTTATTCTCTTTTCTTATTATAACTAATACACTAAATATTTTAAGTATTAATTCATTATCACCTATTTTACCTAAAACA